TTGACTGACCCCTACATGGATCTGACACTCTTGTAGGCCTTATATGAAGGATTGTGCACCGTTTTGACAGAGTTTATGGCGAGAGGCGCCCATTGCGAAGTCCTGAAGTCCATGCTACTGAAAGCCCGATTTCAGGTGTTTGACCTGACCTTGACCCGACCTGTGACCTCAAAATTCAACTTTAAAGTACTCATCTGAAGCGTCTCGTCACGTTCTTTCGTTTGCCGCCTCGTGCGTTTCGCTGAGCCTATTGGTTCTCGAGTTATCCGCTTGGGGCGTTTAACGCCCCCCCCCCCCCAGCAAACGGCGGGTGGCGAAATACCCTAGCAACTGCCGGGCTCAGGCGCGGATACAAGGGGGGGGGCCATGGGGGCCATGGCCCCCCCCTTGGCCGATTTTTTTCAAAAAATAAAATAAAAAGTTAAAAAGTTAAAAAGCTGAAAAGGGGGCCTCCTGAAAATAAAGTGGCCGAAATCCGATGAGTTTTTTTTTTAACCTACCCACTTAGTTATTTCTTAGAAGACTAGCTGAGAAGACTTCTTTGTTAGAAGATTGGTAAAGCTTTTCATAACTTGGAGGTCTCTTATACTCACAGAGATGACCACTTTTACAGGGCCTCCTAACCTGCACAGAGGGCCTCCAAGCCTGCACAGATGTTGAGATGTTGCCTGAACAGCTAGATAAGCTCAATAGACGCAGTTTTTTTTTGGGGGGGGGGGGGGGCCCAACAAGTGGGAAGATGGGGCCTCCAACAGGTGGGATTATGGGGGGGCCTCCTGGTTTCTAATGGCCCCTCCCTTGGAGATTTTCTGGATCCGCCCCTGGCCGGGCTAATGAAAGTTCTGTTAAAAATCAGTCTCTACCTGTTGGATCCTATAGGCTTGAATTCAGAGATCACCGGTTGTTCTGAGACTTGGCGTTAGGAGAACGTTCACATCCCGGTTATATCTGGGAAGCTCTAACCCAATTATAGCCAACACAGTAACACAGTGAAGAGTTTCTTTCCTGTTCTGCTCGGATAAGGTCCGGCAGGATTAATTCACTTGGATAATAGTTCTCCAAAATGAGCCAATTTGTGTTTCGCAAAACACGTTGACATCCTTTCACTGAGCCCCATGTAATATAATATTTATTGATCATATTTGCAGATGAATAAGATACCAGCGCATTACGTCAAAACAGGATATTTTAACCCGCGCACCGACGGGGGTCTGCGCCAACTTAGTACCGACGGGGGGGGGGGGGGGCGGATGACCGCCCCCCCTGAGATCTCGAGAACGAAGCAAGATAGCGACAAGCGGTAAACGGCATCGGATACGCACGGTCAAGATCTACAATTTTTACTAAGGTCATTTTCAGGTCAGGTCAAAGATGACGTCACAGGGGTCGAAAAAGTCAAAATGGCGGCGCTAGATATGGAGAGAGTTTTTCTCGAATAACTTTTGAATTAGTCAAGATAGGAACAAACTAAGGGCATCATCGTGATCCTCTCGTCAATCCGCATCGAATGATATATATGTTGACCTCGAAAGGTCAAGGTCAAAGGTTGACCTCAGGTCACGTGACCTCGAAGTCATCATGTATATCATTCGATGCGTCTTGACGAGCTGAACACAATGAGACCATCCACGCGTCTGTATCTTGTTCCTGTACGGAGTTATTGGCCAAAAACCTTTGGTGACCTTTGATGACGTCACATGACCTCACAGCTGCCCAACAGCAAAACAGACCTCAAGGTAGTGAAGGTTGATCGTATATGAAGTCATGTATGGTATATGGGGCCATTCCGACCCGTTTTAGTGGTAAAAACAGGGAGTTGATTTTTCCCCCATTGACTTATAATGGGGAGGTCGCGAAATTGACCTGACCTTAGGTCACCGATATCAAAATTCCGAGATATACAAATTGTAGCTACTAATGACCTAATAACATCCTGCGACTTTCAAAGGCCTCCGACATCTACTGTAGCTCTGGCACGGTGACAAAGTTGCAAAAAAGTGACTTGAGGTTGGGTCATTCAAAGTGGCCTGGTGACCTGACCTTGAAAGGTAGGAGGTTCAAACTTGCACACCATGTGTAAAATTGATAAGGGAATAGTCATACCAAATTTGGTGGCGCTACGCGCCGCGGTTTTCCCGCTATTTGCGAAAAACCTCAGGGGGGGGCGGATATCCGCCCCCCCCCGTCGGTGCGCGGGTTAACCGAGACTTCTGATGCCTGTGTCATGACCATTGCCCTACGTCAACGTGTTCTTTCCAGTGTGTATGAACTATGAATGTGACACTGGCTATAGTAATTTGCCTTCGCGTTGCCATGACAACTTGCGCAAACACCGTAAGCAGCCTCCGGCCGGTGAACTCGGTCAGGTATATAAGACAGCTATCGGAATGAGAGTGCATCATTCTGTGCAGAGCGATCGACAGCAACGAAGTAAGTACCAGTGTGCATCCGGTGTGCTGATCGGACTATGTGGTGTCATTGCCATGTGATGTCATGGTGTCATTGTCATGTGGTGGTTATGTGGTGTCAGCCATTGTTCTAGGGTTTGTGTAGTGTGGGAGCCTAAGCTTATTTGTGCTTTTTACAATATACGCTTCGAGTAAGCCGGTGCTGGTTAATGAGCGATAGTTTTGGGGACCAACTTCAATGCTACGTGCTTGTTGCCTAATCGTGCTGTAACCAAGACACTGAGCCTGATTTCATTAATGTTGTGGATTCTTTGTAATTCCATTAGGCAAAGTAAATGTGAGCAATCATGCATTGATCGCCTTCCCGAAAAATGACAATTACCTCAGCAAGGAATATTAACCCGCGCCCCACTGGGGTCTGTGTATACTGTATAACACGCCCTACTGGGGGGGGGGGGGGGGCTATTCATAGCCCCCCCTCCTAACTCCGAAACTACTGGGCCGATCGTCACAATTCAAACGGCGTCTGATAGCCCCGGAAAAACTGTCGAACGAAACCTAATTTCATTGACTTCGAGGTCACCGATGACGTCACAGGTCGGGTCAAAGTAAAAATTATTAGCATTTTGGCTTGTTCACATTTTGGGCTCTGGCCGCCGTCTTACAAGTCACATCAGGCTCATTTTTGGTTTCCACACTCGTGAACAGATGTTCTAGATACCTTGAGGGTACCAAACTTGTACTTTGATTTTCAGGTCAGGGTCAGGTCATCTCAGGTCACGGAAATATTATATCATGTGTCGGTCAAGTGACACATGTTTTATGGTCCATTTAGGCCATAGATTTCGAATTTGATGTCGTCTGTGTCATTCGAGGTCATTTTGAGTCGAATTTAGCTTAGGTCAGGTCACTTTCAGGTCAAAAAAGGTCAAATTTTGAAGTTAAAATTTTTCAACAAAAAAGGTGTCTATTGGATGCAGTTTGAGCTCAGGAACACGATGGTGCAATTTATATTGGTGTACGATGTCAAATACGTACTGAAAAATTGATTTGAAAAATTAATAATTGTGAATTTTTTTGCAATAATGCGTAAAACTTGGCCATTTTTGAAGATATTTAGCTAAAACTTGCTAGAGTTAGTCATGATCATGCGTTCTGTCACATATATTCCGGTTTTTTCGAAAAGTCAAAAACTTTTTGAAAAAATATAAAAATATAAATTTTAAATATTATTACATAAAATTTTTCGAAATTTTCAAAATTTTGAAAATCCGAGATAGCAGTTCGATAGCGTGGTCAATTTTGAGTTCTTTCATGCAAAGAAATTGGATCTAGCTTAAAAACTGAGCTCTTGGGAGCGATTGCCGTGGTTCAATGTTTTGCGTCGAAATCGGACGAACATGATGTCACTCTGACGTCATTTCTGGCCGATCTATGGTAGCTACGAAGTTCAAATTTTGACACAAGGTGTCAAATTGATGCAGCCGAAGGTACTGAAAGTTTGGCGTCGATCCGTCAAGCGGTTTGGAAGTTATTGCAGAAAAACGGGAGGGGGGCTATAAATAGCCCCCCCCCCAGTGGGGCGCGGGTTTTTTCGCTCATCGGCAGCAACTGTATTTTTTCACCAATCCCTTTTATAAGCATAGGTAGATATTGTTCATCTAGGAGAGTTCTAAGTTTCCTATTGGGTTAATACTTAATACAGCCTTACTTTTTATCACGAAGCAAGTGAAGCGGATGGAATCTTTCGAAGAATGACGCAAATTTCTGAGTATGAGCGGCCGGCCGGCCGTGCGAACGATTTTGCGAGGCTTATATCTCAGCAACCACTTGACCGATTTACTTGAGGAAGGTAATTTTTGTAGGGTAGCTTCATTCCTTCTACCAAGTATTGGAGGCTATTCCCGATGCATGTGGACGACCCCTAGTATGCACGTGCCACGTGCAAAACGAAGAGGTGTCAGTCTTGTGACAATTGCAATATCTCGGTAACTACTGGGCCGATTGCGCTGCAAGTAGGCATGTAGGTAGGCACCCACTAGGCAATGCATTTTTATGTGCCACAGTATAGGGTGCTGCTGCACGTGCGCACGTGCAGGGGTCGATTCCAGATCTAGAGAACAGCTGAACCGATTGCGCTGAAATTTGAGACACCGTTAGGGACCGGTTAGTAGGGTGCCGTGCAAAAGTCAGTTGGGAGTTGGGACCCATTTTACACGTGCGCACGTGCAGGGTTCCGCTTGCAGATCTCGAGAACAGATAGGCCGATTGCGCTCAAATTTGGCACATCGCTAGGGACCGGTTAGTAGGGTGCAGTGCAAAGTTAGTTGGAGCCGTACCCCCTCGCAATTTGGCACGTGCAAGGCCTACCCTCTCGCTCGCTTCGTTAGTCGCCCCAAAAGGCGTTTTGCTATTCTTATCTCATTCAAATAGGTACCACAGAAGGTGTGACTTTATTCCTCACATTTCTCTGCGCGTTTGCTCCTCTGCGATGCGTCATACATACTCTCTGTACTGTTTTTCAGAGTGGCTTCACTCAATCATGGCACGAGACATCGATATTTGCAGTGAAGTTCTCGCAAGAGAGAACAAAACAGCAACAATGGTAACAACGACAATGGCATCAGTCACTACTTCTAATCCTAACATCATCACTGATGTCGCCAACATCACCTCAAGCTCCGTGTCTGACGTCACCAGCATGTCTGACATCAGTACCATCAACGTCACCCCGACGGCTCTCGCCGCTGCTGCCGGATCCCTCTCCCCATACTCCCTCTGGTTGTGTCGTCTGAACACAGTGGATGTTAGCAACATCATCGGTAGCTTTGTCATCGCCTTTGCCATCGTGGTGACATCAGCTCCAACTGCTGCGGTCATCTGGCGTACCGCTTCACTCCACCGCACCTCCTACTTTTACGTCCTCATATTGTGTCTGCTGGATGGCATGCTTGGTGGCACCATCTTCGTCATGACCACAGCCGTCGTCTTCAGTGGCATGCTGTCCGGCGGCCTCCCGAAGCTCGTTTGCGTCTTGTCCGAGGCGTTGATGAATGCCATCATGAATGCCGTCAACGTCATGATGCTTTTCTTGAGCAGGGATCGCCTTTTGTCAGTTGAGCACAATATTACATATCCGCTAAGGGTTCCTCTTGGCAGAGAGTGGAGTCATCTCAAGATGGCCGCCGTCTACGGGCTTCTGCAGGCGGCCATGCTGACTGGCGGTCGACTGTACACCGATCTACCTGCCCAGAAAGAGCTCTTCTGTGACCCTATGAGTGACCTCCTGAGACCGGAGACGGCGCTGCTGGCAGCGATCTCCGTCACGGTCAACATCGGCATCGACGTGGCGACAATCTTCTGCAACGGCAGGATCATCCTGGCAGCATCAAAGGTGAGTTGTGCCATGCCATTTGACGCAGGGGACAACGGGAGCATGTGCTGCCTTTACAACCTAACGGTCCCTGGAAGACTCGATTTTTACAGCGTATGAGTATGACCGTGCATGGAGAAAAAAATGGACACCAGATCATCGGTTAGTCCCATCTTTGGCGTCTGTCTCATCCACTTCTGCGCTAAGTAGGACCGCCAAAAATAGACTAGGGACAAGGACTTGTAACATTATTCATCCTATATCATCGCAGATATTAGCCGGTCCCGTAGCTCAATCGGTAAAGCGTTGGACTCCGCGTGGTGAGAGCACGCGTTCCTTGGTGCAACAATTCGGGTTCGAAGCGCGACCCCCGCTTGACGTTTATGAGCCTCCTGGCGGGTATGGTTGCGGTTGGTGGCACGCCGTAGCCAGTCGAAGTCAGTGAGGGAACCGGCCGTGCGCGGCTATATGCGCACGTTTAACTTTGGACTCCAAATTCTGCCATAGAACCGGAATTGCGCGATCAGAGGGTAGAGGGTAGGGTCAACGCAATAAGCTCTGCTTAGCGGGCTCTGTCCTTGCGAACCCTTCCATTCAAAAGGTTCGGACGAAATTTATATAGAAAATTTGTCCAAGTAGGGTCATCAGACGCATTGCAGTCTTTTTATCGGGTCGCTTTCGAGTGCTAAAGTAAAATGCGCACAAAAAAAAACTGACGAATAAACCTATCCGGAGTAATGCGCGTAAGCCTATCCTCTCCAAACCATCGTTTTCCTCTTATCTATTTAATGATTCTTTTTTGTTAATGCAGCATTAACTGATGGACGTAGAGTGATCCGTCATCGCTAGATCAACAGACTACATGCAAATAAGCTCTCCGATAAGTCCACCGCTCTCCCTCAACCTCGAAATTGGCATGATGCGGGCTCAAATGACAAATCATATACGTATCGATCACCCCGATATTAGTGCGCTGCACTTATAGTTAGACCAGTCTAGTGCCCGTTTAGCAACCTTGTATCGCCAATCAATATTTGAGCAAAATTATCTTCAATTTTACAATTGAAAATGATCTATCTTTTGAGACAGAGGACGGAATAGAGAGGTTAAAGACGGTAAAAAGGTGAGCAAAAAGATAATAGGACATGAACAGGAAAGCACCAACGTAATTTCATTGATGCACCAGATAATGAAGAAATAGTATGCAGTGCTCTAGCGAAGAAAATCTTGATATATGTAGTTAGAATTTCAAATGACCTTTTCCTCGATAAGCAATTGGAAATGCGATAAAAAGGAAATATTATATTGTTCGCAACTTTTCTAACCACAGTTCATTCTCAAGTCACATGAATTTGTTTCATGTGGCATGAGAATGAACTGTGCTGGTTCAAAAATTTGTCAAACAATATAATATTTGCTTTTTATTGCATTTCCAATTAATTATCGAGGAAAAGGTCATTTGAAATTCTAATTACATAGATGTACCAGATAATAAAGATGATTGCGTATTTGCGTACCAATGCTGTATGTCGAAACAGAAGTATGATTTATGTCGTCACTAACTTCTAATTATCTTTTCAGCACAAGAAAATGCACGAGATTTCCCGGCACATGCTCAATGGAGAGGAGCGGCTGAAACACAACATGAAAATTGTCGTCTTCACGATGAAGCTCGTATGCCTGTTTCTATTGTGCTCCTTTCCGTTCAAATTTGCGCTATTGCTGTATGGTTTCCGTTTCCATGGCAACACCGATTTCACGCGCCACCTTGGATTTCTGAGGACGTTGTATCACGTTCTGGATGGGTGGACGTTTTGTACTAACGAGGAATTGAAGGTAGCAATGTGGACAATGTTTTTTGGCAAGCGATCAAACCGAGTTAGTGCGGAGATAGGACTGATATGTCTGTCAGGTGAGAAGAGGAGCGAAGAGTGAGGCGAGAGGTGTCATCATATGACATGTATCTTCGACCCAAGTCTGTGGATAAATTTAATACAATGTTCTGAATCATGTTCCGACAGAAATGTGTTGCCATACCTAGTTCGTTATATAAGTCTGTCTGATAGCCTAAAGTGCACACTGCACAAGTAAATATGACATGGGACGAGCAAAAGGTATGAATAGAAAGTCAAAAAGTAACATCGAGATTAAGATGATATTTTCAGCTGGCCAGTGCTTAAGTCATTGAGGCTCACATGTGCCTTTTGTTTAAGCATTGAAAGCGATTAGACAAGCTTACATATTCAGACTTAAAAAGTATGTACATTGTACATATATCACCGCAGATGCTCCATCATTATACAAGTAGATGTTGAAGACAAGTACGTTGGGTGTTCAAGCTCTGAATTTTCACCGAATATCAGATTATCTATGGCTGTGTTGTAGACATTGAGTGTTGGTGTAATACATGTAATTGAAGTTTGCATGTGTGTTTTTTAATTGATACCATTATTGCCGGTCATTTTCTATCATTCGTTAGATATTCGCGTACCTATAGTTTTTCATCTTGTAATTAGTACAGTAAGAATCCCTTACAAAAATAAATATTATGTCACACAACAATATTGAGTATCTTATCACACCGCTTTCATAACATGGCTCAACTATAACCCTCGCCCTGGCAGGGCATTTTTCATAACACGGCCTGGCAGGGGGGGGGGGCGATGCGACCCCCTCGCGATTGGCTCCTATGGCACCTAGAAACACCAAATTTCTTAGGTAGGTGGGCCCTACGTCGCTAGCTTACACGGTTCATGGGTTGCTCAAGAAAACAGAGGGGATGTTGAATTCGATCCCCCAGGTGGGCGCTTGCCGCTTACGCTAGATCAAAACGAGCTCGTAGCATGTATGCGTAACATATGCAAATCCTAGCGGAGATAGTCTGCGGTTCGTGGAAGGGTTGTGGGGTACTCAACAGTCATCTCGCACACCTAATCAATAGTCAGTTACATACGCAATAATTGACAGGAAGCAAAACGAGAAAAGTAATTCACTTTGGCGTAGCTTTGCGCTGTGACACAAATTAACTGACACTTTTGGTTGGGCTCGTCCTTACCGAGACTACCCTATTTGCATAAATTGATTACCCCCGAGTGGCCAGTTCATTAATTGTAGAAGTGGTGTGTATAATTGTCTTGTAGAAGGGTATCTATCAGGTTCCTTTGCTGCATGCTGCACATTTCTCCAAACCCCCATGCACCGCTGTCAAAGTTTATTGTATCAGCCGATTCAAGTCGTTTCAGTCAATCATAATCACACTACACTGTGGTTATGCGCTAAAATCAATTATTGTACACGTGCGCTATGTTGATGACCTGCTTCTGGCTACACCTCCAGGGGGATGATAATACCCCCTCTCCGCCTCCTCACACGCAGGACAGTATGTAGAGAGTCTCTTCGTTGGGGATTTCACCGCATCACACCACCAGTTTAGGAAGGAATGGCTTCTTCGTGGGCTTCAACGTCGGCTTGGGCACCTTCGGCAGCTTCGGCTTACCGATTGGTAGCTTGATATTGGGCCCAGCACACTTGGTACCGTTCTGTCGATAAAGGGAAGATGGGTGTTCAGTTAAAAACTCCATCAAGTGAGGTATGTGACAGAATTGCACTCCAAGGTACTGGGGAAATTAGTGTGAGAAGCAATGAGCGTGTTTGCAGTCTCCTCGGACAAAGAACTTTCTACGCAAAATATATACGCTGCGTTCGATGAGGCACACAGTACGACGGCGTGGTCGGCCATTTTGTGCGCCACTTGCGCATTGTGAATGTTCATCACTTTCGAATCCATCCCATTTGCTCGTTTTTTTATAGAAACGTATGCAAAATTGCCAGTTCTAATGTTTTCATGGAAACCACGTACACACATGTAAGCAACTACTGTATACAGCTGCCGCGCCGCTTTCGAAGTGTGCGCCATTATTGTCTCTTTTCCGACCTTAGTACGCTCAAAAGATTCCACGCGGACGACAAAACTTCTACGCAACGTCGCGTAGAATCTTCGCCGTACGTGCGACATTGAACGACAACGACGAAGAATCTTTGTCGTCCGGGAGACATCGAACACAGGCAAAATCTCCGGAGCTCGAGCACGGTTTGTTCAAGAGACGTCGCAGTGCGGAGCAGGTCGCTGAAGCGTTTAGTGTAAGATTATTCATATTTTTTTACAAATGCAACATCAAACACCAAGCTAGCTTACTCATCTAGCTTCATTTTTTTCCTTTACCTAGCTTCACACTTCAGTGTCCTAGAGTTCACAGCTTACCTTTCCGCAGTTGATTTGTGTTAGCACATCAGCTTTGATTCCATCACCTGAAATAAATGTTCAATTCAGTTATGCCGTATTAGCACCAGTTTTGTGACGTTCAAATTAGGACGTATGGTAAAGAAGTAAAAGTCACAGAGGGTTTCCTAATCACTACTAAGTCATAACGTGCATACTGCGTCATCAACGTGCTGCACAGCGCATAGGGAATAAATGGTAACATTTCATGGAACTGCGGTGAATGAACAATCCGCTGCCTCTAACAGCCCCAGAAGTTGATACAGAATGGCAGTTCACGTATCCCTCCCTCTCGTTCAAATGCATTTAGGTATAGGTAGATCTTATGGTATCCGTATGTATGTATTGTTCTGGCAGCAGCTTTCATCAGCTAATGTCTTACTCTTAGGCTTAGCGGATCAGACTTTGCTTTGGGCATTGTCTGTAAACCGTCCCAATAAATTCCAAATATATTTGTTTGCTTTTATTTTGTTGCATACTGCACAGTTTCATATAATCTAAGTTTCTGTGGATATCAGTATTGATGTTGATAAATCAAAATTGGTATCCGGATCAATCTCTCTCTCTCTCTCTCTCTCTCTCTCTCTCTCTCTCTCTCTCTCTCTCTCTCTCTCTCTCTCTCTCTCTCTCTCTCTCTCTCTCTCCTCTCTCTCTCTCTCTCTCGCTCTCGCTCTCTCTCTCTCTCTCTCTCTCTCTCTCTCTCTCTCTCTCTCTCTCTCTCTCTCTCTCTCTCTCTCTCTCTCTCTCTCTCTCTCTCACTCTCTCACACAATCCAGGTCTCCCCGTGCTGACCGTTTCGATGGTGCAGTCCAAAGTTGTTGCTAATCAAAAATAACGGAGTTATTCCTCAGAGCTCGTAAGATCGCATCAGTGTTCGATATGCATCTACGCTTTCATCAACAAACGCATCGTTATCGTTGAGCCGGTTGTTTTGAATCGAATAGATTGAGCCGTATAATTTATTACTTTCTGAATAATTTCAGCTTGAGTTTTGCGACATTGCCTCGGAGTTTTTTGATGTTCAAGCGATTCAATGCGAGAACTGAAGAACAACGATACAATTACTATCATCTAGGACTCTAGCATATAAATAAATGTTGAAAGTTTCTACATATAACGAACTTTTTGAAGAAGGCTCGCATTTTGATAATGGACTCATAATTTCATAATTTTGATTTTCATAATTTTCATAAATTCATAATTTGATAACTTGATAATTCATGTAAAATTCGACAGTACTGGTATACCACTCACTGGCAGTGTTGGTGACGTTGACGCCATCCGAAGTTACCGTCCCTGATCCCGCGTGCGTGGTCTTCTGCTGTTTGCTGGCAATGCCTGATGCCTGGGCCTGGGGGGGGGGGGAAGAAGCGGGTCTGATGTGCACCTCAACTTTTGAAAATAACGGCAGTGTCTTGCCTGTTTGGTTCTATTTCGTTTCCAACTATTACCTTTTCCCCTGTTTGTTTTATTTTTGGTTGACACTTCTATTGCGCCAGGCGCACAATCTTGATCGTTCCCTGCAGAAAACAAAACCACTTACATGACAACCCCCACACTCTTAATCTGTGAAGTGATCACTGAATACTAATATACCATGCTTACAACTGAATTGATGGCCTATGATGGGGCTGACTTGTTACCGGTATCTACCATCTGTGATCTACCTGGTATCTACCGGCATCTACCGGCTGTGACTGGTTGAATTATGTATTTGCTTACCACTGAAGCGATGGCCTTGGATGGGGCCTGCTTGTCACCGGTATCTACCAAAGCTCCCGTGTGTGACTGGCTGAGGCCAATGGCGATCTGTAAACACATATAGATAACCCATCAGGTGAGGTATTGACGAAGTGACATTTCTAATCTTCCTCAGGTAAATGGTTGTACCTAATTCGTATTCGTTTCGGGCTACACTGAGGCTACACCGGGTTTTTTTAAACAATTGTTTTACCTCAATGTAGCCTGAAACGAATGCGAATTATAATCAGATGAGATCAATTCTCTATGATCGTTGAAATCAGTGGCGGCGGAAGCGGGGGGGCAGCGGGGGCACGGCGCCCCCCCATCTTCCAGGGTGGGGGGGGGGGCAAACATATCTTTTTGCCCCCCCAAAATTGTTATCGACGAAGTACCACAATACTTCCATACTACCTACGTCAGGAACATATGCCAGTTTGGCTGAGTACCTTTTTATTAAGTTGATATAGCGAGTAACTTGGATTGATAATAGCCGTTTTCACGACGGGCTATCCGGCGAGCTAGTCCGTGACGGACTATTTCCACCAAACGCCCTCCACACATAATGCTCAGAAATCAAGCAGAGCTATCTACGAGCTACCGGTAACCGAAGTCTGGAAGAGTAGGACGGAACGCGAGTAACCCGGCACGGACGTCACGAAAGTGCGTCTGAGCGTGCCACAGGCCTTTCCCCGCGACTCTGCCAGACGCCAGCCGGCATAGGCGCGTGAGCCGGGGGGCAGCATGGGGGCAGCCTGCCCCCACAACTCTGGGGCCGTGGGGGTCTCTGCCCCCGCAAAGTTTCAAAGGGCCAGGAACCGTCGGGGCAGCTTGTCCTCCCCATATTAGCGGCCGAGGGCCTCAAAGAAAAGCTGAATGGAAGACAATACCTATTTAAGTAAAAAAATCCCCCTCTGTACGGGGACCCGCAGTTGCTATTGTACACGAACCCCAACTCTAGCCGTCTGTCCTGTCCAGTAACAACCGATAACATTGATATCGACT